GCCTATCTAACCGATGTAATTGTAAAATCAGAGATTTATTCCTTCAGAATTTGGAAATGAAGTTGACAGAGTAAGTGGGCTGCCACCTTTCGAGGCTTTACTTGAAAACAAAAGGAAGATCAGAAGGGCGATCGAAGCAGCAGGAATTCCATATACTTATGTGTCTGCAAACTCATTTGGTGCATATTTTGTTAATTATTTGCTTCATCCTCATGAAAAAACAAACCACCAAGTCACTGTTTATGGCACTGGTGAAGCCAAAGGTGAGTTGAGTTTGCTCATAATTTTGTTTTTTTGGCTTAATATCACAAAATGTCTCTAAGGTTTACGAAACTATCAGATTGCATCCTTAATGTTTTTTTTGTGTCATTCGGGGTCCTTAAGGTTAGTATGTGTGATCACAAATGGTCTCTGCCATTAGGTTCCGTAAAAAATTCTATTAGTTTGTTGATGTGACATATATATATATTACAAAACATCCATGAGGTTCATGCACCTATCACAAATGGTCCTTGCAAAAAAAATTAATTTAAAATTCATAAAATTTTGGTTTTCTTTTTTAAATTTTATGAATTTTACATTATTTAAAAATATATATTTTATTTTAAATACATGTGACACTATATTATTGGAGATGTGGGCTCCACATATATGCCGCATCAACAAAGTAATGGAGTTTTTGAAAAATAATTTAAAATTCATAAAACTTAAAAATTAAAAAATCAAGGGTTTAGGGTTTATAAATGGTCCTCAAGGTTAAAATCTTCTATGAATGGTTTTTTCATTTTTAAATTTTATGAATTTTAAATTATTTTTAAAAAACTTCATTAGTTTGTTGATGTGGCATATATGCGGAGTCCACGTCTTCAAAAATATAGTGTCACGTGTATTTAAAATACAATATATATTTTTTAAAAATTTTAAAAAGAAAACCAAAATTTTATGAATTTCAAATTTAAAAATTTAAAAATTTAAAAATTTATCAGGGATCATTTGTGATAGGTGCATGAACCTCAGGGATGTTTTGTAATATACATATATGCCACGTCAGCAAACTAACGGAGTGTTTGACGGAACCTAACAGCAGAGACCATTTATGATCACACATACTAACCTTGAGGACCATGAATGACACAAAAATACATTTTTCGATTCTCGTATAGTTAAAATTAAATAAATAAATGTGTTGACAAATAAATAAATAAATGCTGGTGTCTAGCCGTATAGTTATTGAGAGTGAGATGGAACATAACTGAATATATTTACTAATTATGTTTGAATGTCTAGCCGTGTTGAACTATGAGGAAGATGTTGCTACCTACACAATAAAAGCAGCAACAGATCCAAGGGTGGCCAACCGTGTCATAGTTTATAGGCCACAAGGAAACATTGTGTCCCAGTTGGATTTGATTTCTTATTGGGAGAAGAAGACAGGATGCACTCTTACAAGGAGCTATGTCCCAGAAGAAGAAATAATCAAGTTCTCTGAGAGTAAGCAATTAATCTTGTTTTTTTTTTGAGTGCTAAGAATGGGTATATGACTAAATATCTCTATTTTTTTTTGTGCCCTTCTTTCTTGCAGCCCTCCCTTCCCCGGACAACATAGCGGTGTCAATTCTGCACAACATATTCATTAAGGGGGATCAAATGAGTTTTGAACTAACAGAAAATGACCTAGAGGCCTCCGAGTTATATCCTGATTACAAGTACACTTCCATTGATAGCTTCCTCGACATTTGCTTGGTGGATCCTCCCAAGCCAAAATTAGCAGCATTTGAATGACTGGTTTCTTTTTGGATAAAATGGAAAACTACTATCCCTTATTACTATTTTATGCTTTCTTGTTTGTATTTGTGAATGTGTTGGCCACTATCTCAGTGCTCTCTAAGCTTTGGTGTTTCGTCCAAAAAATAAATAAAAACTCTAAGCTTTGGTGGGTTGATTGATGGGTTATATATATGTTATTTCATGATTTCAAAGTGCTATAGGGTCATTAGATGATGTTGCTTCAGAATTCATATGTTACCATCCACAATGCAAATCACAATATAAACTAATCTTGCATTTTGCCAACTCAATTAACTAATTCATTGCCAAACCATTAATAGAAGGACACATCATAAAAGCTTTCTTAAACGATGACAATTAAGATGACACATGGTCAATGACTTTTTTATTTATTTATTTATTATTTTTAAATTTAAAAAATAAAATAAAAAACTACAAATGGGAGAGGGGGTTTCATACACAAACAATATTAAGGTGTCATTGAGGTTTGAACCTAAGACTATTGATTTGCAAGTTAAGGCCCTGTTTCAGTGGGATAGATGGTAAACCCCATTGGGTATGATGAAGTCTCTAATCAAAGTAAATATTTGTAATTTATTTAAAACTCAAGAAATCTAAAAAGTAGTTTACCTTCTTTAAGGAATTGTTTTTCTCCATAAAAACAATTAAATAATAAAATCTGCTAAGTAATAAGCCAAATTGTTTTTAACTTAGAAATGTGTGGTGAAAAATGAACAATTGTAACCTAAATCTTAGTACCTAATTAAAGAAATATATTAAATTGAGCTTAGACTTATAAAATTCATTTTTAATCACCTACAACCCTTTCCTTTATTTTTCTATTTAAAATACCCAATTTTTTCAAATAATATCCAAGTAAGCAAGTTATCTAATCTAGCTTAAAATCTGATTTATTTTATTTTTCGGGTTCCAAAACTACCCCTATGTACAAGTTAACGTGTTATGTGGGGGTGTAACTAATGACGCACATTGAATTTGGAAAAATCTTCAAATGGTTGTAATGGATGTATGAATTAATTTAGAAACTTATTTGAAATTAAATATTAAATTCAAAATTAACGTATTAGTAATCTACATGTGATTAATGTTTCTGTTTATTTAATAAATTTTTTTGTTGTTTTCCTTTTATGAATTATACTTATTGTAAAATAATTTACCTATGGTTAAATAATGTACCTATATTTTCTATAAATTATTGTGTACCTATACACATTTATAGGTATATTGTAAAATAATTTACCTATGGTTAAATAATGTACCTATATTTTCTATAAATTATTGTGTACCTATACACATTTATAGGTATATTGTAAAATAATTTACCTATGGTTAAATAATGTACCTATATTTTCTATAAATTATTGTGTACCTATACACATTTATAGGTATATTGTAAAATAATTTACCTATGGTTAAATAATGTACCTATATTTTCTATAAATTATTGTGTACCTATACACATTTATAGGTATATTGTAAAATAATTTACCTATGGTTAAATAATGTACCTATATTTTCTATAAATTATTGTGTACCTATACACATTTATAGGTATATTGTAAAATAATTTACCTATGGTTAAATAATGTACCTATATTTTCTATAAATTATTGTGTACCTATTTTTAATTTATGAAAAATGTACGGAAATTTCAATTACAAAGTAACTGACTTAGGGGGGGTGTATTCAATTAAGATTTTAAAAGAGTTTGTAAAAGTTTGGGTGTATTCAAATAATATACCTATATTTTATTTAAATAATATATTTATATTTTTATACGTATATATTTATATTTATATTTTTCATAGGTACATTATTGGATATGTAATCTACAGAATTTTTTTTTTGGTTTGCAATTTTAGGGGGCGATATGTGAGAGGGAATGACAACCAAAAGAAATGGGGTGATTGATATGCTATCAATGGGGAGTATTAATTACAATTATGGCAGTTAATGAAATGCTTGAAATAAATTATAAATAAAATATGAAGGCTAGTGGCAACGATGTAAAAACATAAGAATACTACGACCTCTTATATCATACTAGTCATTTAAATTTGAAATTGGGTTTTTCACATATAAATACCTAATCGAATGCATTATACTTGGTCAAATTAAGGGATGAAATTATGACGTGTGGCAATATGCATCATTCCATGACATGTGAGATGCATGACAAAAATGTGATATTTTTAGGTGAGAAAGATTCCTCAAAGTTTAGTCCTCTGTGTTCTTTTTTAGGTGAGAAAGATTCCTCTAACATGAATTTGGAATTGTACATCCCCCATTGAGAAGTTGAGATCAAAGTCTTGTGTTTGTATACGTAAGCTTGAGTTCACCAAACCCAGTTTTGTCTGCTATGTCTCGTGCATCTGGTTTCCATGAACTCAAAGATTCCTTCCAAACCCAAACACAACCTCTACCTCACAAAACCCTAATAAAATTCAAACATTAAAATATGTCACATTCACTACAAGAAAAATAGCTTTTGACAACATGCCATTAACAACGCGCGTCTTTTTTACGTTGTTGAAGTATACTTTTGACAACATTCCTTTAATGCGTGTTGTCAAAATGAAATTTAGAGAAAATTTCACAACGCAAACATGCGTGTTGTGATATCTTTAAGTTCTACAATGTGCAAAGCATGTTGTCAAATTGTTTCATTTTTTTAAAAGGAAATATACCCAAAATTTATGCGGGAGAACTCCCTCTCTCTCAAAATGTTAAAACATTTGAAAGTTTTCTAAAACCCCTCTTTTCTGAATAACATTTCACGGCCCCTCTTTCTTTTGCCCATCACTCTCACACTGCTAAACCTAGGGAAAAATCCAATATCCCTACCTCTTTTGCTCTCTCTCTCTCTCTCTCTCTCTCTCTCTCTCCATGGCAGATCTGGTTGCTGAACTTGTGTGTTCTCCTCCGTGACAGAGCTTCTAGGTATTGGTTTTAAGATTTTTCATTCGAGTGTAATTTGGGGCTAAATATGGGTGATATTAGGTATTGTTATTATTTATATTTTTTCAATTTAATCTTTTGTGGGCGATTGGGGCATTATTTGTAGGTATTCAATTAATTTTTTATTTATAAATTTCTGCTTTTAATTGAAGACATGTTTAGTTAGTTCAATTATATGTGGATGAACTCTAGGTTTCTTTTTGCTGTTAAGAAATCTTGTCTGCCATTGCAGTCGATGAACACACTTGACACCCATACGACCCTTTTGTCTTCTCTATGCTATTGCAGTCGGTAATCCAAATATTTTTAATCATGTTTCTTTTTATGGATTAACTGAAGATTGCCTCCAATTTAATCATGTTTCTTTTCTGGTATTGCCTCAAAGTATCATTTAGATATTGGGTGACAAGAGGATTGGTTTACTTGTTTTCTCGCTATGGATGAAGAATGGGATGGCTGCAATTGGACAGGTTGGTTTACTTTGATTTTAGAATTTTCATATTACTTATGTGTATGTGTTTGATTCTCTCATGCACTGGTGCTTTCATTGATTTTATACTCAAGTTTCTGTTTAGCTATTGGTTTAAGATGCATTTGTTCGGTTACATAATTAAGCATCAACTATGATGAGGTATAATTCACTGAGCCTCTCTGATATCCCGGATCTATTATGCCTTGACAATTATGCATTCTTTGCCTTCTTTCTTTTTCTTTTTCTTTTTTTGGGTATAATTATGAGCCTCTCTGATATCCCGGATCTATTATGCCTTGACAATTATGCATTCTTTGCCTTCTTTCTTTTTCTTTTTCTTTTTTTTGGTATAATTAATATATATATGGGGGCGGATCCGTGGCACCATATTTTTGACACAAGTTTTGACACAATTTTTGGGCCATTAGATTACTCCACTTTTAATGGTTGAGATTAAATCTTACATGACAAATAGTTTTAATGTTTTAAATAAACAATCATTAATTTTATTTTCTCTCTCATAAAAATAATAATAATAATAATTCTCTCTACTCCCTTTTTTTAGGAAACGTAATCTCTTTTCTTTGTAGTATCCTTTTTTATTTGGTACTCTAATCTCTCTTCTTTCTCACGCATACCTCTCTCTCTCTTTCCTGGGACTAGAAAAAATCTCCATCTTTTTCCCTCTCTCTCTCTCTCTCTCTCTCTCTCTCTCTCTCTCTCTCTCCAGTAACTGCAAACCAACCGTATGAATTCCCTACTCCATTTTTATTTTTCTTAAAACAAATATGTTTTGTTTTGTTATTTATGATTATATTGATAGTTTAGTTATCTGTTATGCGTTAGTAGTCCGTTACACCCAAGGCCTTCCATGTTCAACATCCATCTCTCTAGCTAGATGATTTAGAAGATATGCTGACTGAAGCTATGCTTTCTCTCAACACTATGACAGAGGATGGCAACATCGAGGAGGTAAGCTTTTCAACTCTTGATGATATCTTAATAGATTATATGAGAGACTTAATATGCTATGCTTCTGGTAGGAAACTCAAAATTTATTGCTTGCTCCATATATTGTGTTACTCTTCCTTGTCGACTGGCCTTGCCTCAACCCAATTCACACTACCATATTATCTTTAATCTGTTTTCTATCTGCCTATATTGATCTCTCAAGTTCTCAGCTCTTTGATTGAATCGGATACTTGAATTTGAGATGTCAAAATAGGAAGATAAGAATTATTTTTTAAAATCAGTATGATAGTCTACTCCATTATATTTAATATAGCTTTGATCAATGAAGTATTTCACTGAATATATTCTCTGATCAATAAGTACGGTTTGAATGAAAACAAAGGTTAAAGTTTTTAACTTGTCCCTTGTATGATTATTTTTTTTCTTCCAAGCTCTGGAGTTTCAGTAGATATCAATGTTTCATACTTGAATTCTGCTTACCCTGGTGAGGAGGTTGACGTTGAGGCCAAGGATTTATGAGTTGGGAAGGCTGTTGGTGTTGCCAGTGTTGAGTTAAGGAAGAAGAAGACATGCAAAATTATAGCTTAGGGCTGTCATACCAAGTATCTTGCTCTCACTAACAAACTTTGAACAGCTTGGAAGTTGAAATTTTCCTCAGACTTGTATGGAATATTGAGAAGCCTTTTTTACTTAGACTTGTATAGAATATTGAGAAGCCTTTTGGTGTTGTCAGTGTTGAATTTAGGAAGAAGAAAACAGGGGAAACATTGTTGTCAACTGGCACTTCTCTCTACACTCAATAAAGTGTGAACTTTGAACCAACAATTCAGTGTTCCCATTTACAAATTTTGCTCATGCTTATAGTTCGAAGAGTTTCACATGCAAACAATGCTCAATAGCATCTCTCCTCAGACTGATACTAATTTGAAAAAGTTGCCAAAAACCACAAGATTCAATTGCTTAACTTATAGATCGTAACATGATACAACTGATTCATGAAATCACGACTATAAAAAAACCACAAGACTCAATAGCATCTCTTCTCATTTGACAGTTGCATATCACCATGACTGCCACATTGAGACTTTGTGCCTTCTTCAAATACAGGTGCATAACCCTGATTTTACATGATATTAGATTTGTTTGGCTTTTAGTTGCTTGTAGTCTCTACATCATTTAACGAGACCTTAGATGTTGACAGAACATAATATGAGATTTGCATAGCACTAATAAAGCAAGATTGATTATGAAATAAGAGATATAAAAGATGCTTACAAGCTCTTCATTTAATTTATCCAGAGCATCATACTTGATTTTTGAACTCAACCTCTGCAAGAACAAAATGTCACATTAGCAATAGAATTCTCAATCACCAGCAACCAGAAATAGATATTTAAGCATATCATTGAGCATACACAATAAGCTAGCCTCAGAAACAATACTGAAAAATATCAAAATTTACAAGCATACTAGTTGAGAGCCAATAGAAGCTGAAGGAAACTATAAGTCCAATAATTGCAAGCATAAAATATCTCAGCTTTGACTAGTTGAGTTTAAAAATGAAACAGAAACTAATTCAAGTCCCTTGCAAATATAAAGTTAGCATGAAAATCATAAAAAACCAATCCGAAACAACAGCATAAATAACAAAATGAAAGTACCCATAATTGAAATCACATCAAAATCATAAAACTTTAACTCATAGGAAGCTAACTCTGCGGGAAACTATGAGCAGAACCCAGTTTCAGTTGCTTCACAGCTCTGAAGTCTGAACAGAACCCAGATTATAAAACCTGAAATCTTCACTGTTCAAATGCAGATCTCAATAAAAAGGAATGATTCTCAGCTCTGTAATGAGAGACAAGGCCAGCTTACGTTGATAACTGTTCAAAATGCAGATCTCAATAAAAATGAAAATGGAATAAAAATAGAGTAGAGAATTCATACGGTTGGTTTGCGGTTACTGGAGAGAGAGACACAGAGAGACACAGAGAGAGGGAAAAAAGATGGAGATTTTTTCTGGTCCCAAGAAAGAGAGAGAGAGAGAGAGAGAGAGGTATGCGTGAGAAAGAAGAGAGATTAGAGTACCAAATAAAAAAGGATACTACCAAGAAAAGAGATTACGTTTCCTAAAAAAAGGGAGGAGAGAGAATAATTTTATTTTATTTTAATGAGAGAGAAAATAAAATTAATGATTGTTTATTTAAAACATTAAAACTATTTGTCATGTCAGATTTAATCTCAACCATTAAAAGTGGAGTAATCTAATGGCCTAAAAATTATGTCAAAACTTGTGTTAATGGGCAGGGATTGATTGTTAAGATTTTGACTCTTTATTTCCTATTTTATTTTCCATTGCTATGCTTTAATGGATAAAATATTGGGGATTCTAAAAATTCAATGTTTGATGCCAGTAGTCCAGGTGTGTGAAAGTTTCTTATTACAGTTGTACATGAGACATATATATATATATATATATTGTAAAAGCAATGAATGTAGTTCAAGTCTAACCAATATATATGGAACTTTATCTTCTCTAGGGAGAAGAAATCTGTGCAGGTGGGATAGATCTGATAGAACATTGCCCTGGATAAAACTATAGGTGGTCAATCAATATTAGAAAATGTGCATTCCACGTTGAATTGATGCCTATATATCTCTATGGCTCCATTAACTTCCTGTTTTTTTTTTTTTTCGTGTTCTTTTCAGAGGGGTCTTTTCCTGGACTTGTTGGCTGCCATGGTTTATTATTATTGTAGGTTTTTTGAGACAAGCCAGCTGCTATATGGTTTGATGGTTCTTTTAGTCTAGCATGGCATTAAATAACGTACTGCATAGTTATAAATCGCAGCTAACTTACTTTTTCTTTTGTGATTCTTTTGGATGTTAGTTGACAAGAGGATTAGTTAACTTGGTTTTTCCGAATAACCCATTAAATAGTAACTGCAATCTCACAAGCTAAGCATAATAATTTGAAAGTGAATAAGGTTTTTGAGAGTATTCTCTTTACTTTCATACTTAATAGAAGATGTTTCTTAATGTATGTGTGAAATTTCTTTGAAATCACAGTAACTTTGGTTCTTTAATCTTTTCAGGTACTTCAAGTTTCGTAGAAAGTGTTTGACAGTGTAATATTCCACAATTGGACGAAGACTTTGAAATGCAACTAATCAGGTTTTTAGACCATACAAGGATTTTGAAGTGTTATTAGACTATGCATATTACAATTTCCATGCAATTTCCATTTGGATAAATGTAACTTGACAATGAATCTATCGATATGTATGGAGATATTTTTTGAATGAAAACTCCTTATTAATGGGTTATCTTATGATTGGGAAGGAAGAGAACCTCATGAATTTTCGGTTTATGCACGAACTGTACTGTTATAAGGTGATTCTGAATTTTTTTTTTAAAAATATTAATATAACGACGTGCAAAGCTTGTTGTTAAAACGTAAACAACAACACACATATACACGTTGTCATTAAGGCCTACGACAACGCGTGTAACATGTTGTTGTCTGCTGCTACTACAACATGCGCGTGTTGCGAATAATGGCATTAGCAACGAGCATCCAAATGAACGACAACATGCAAAGCGTGTTGTCAAAAGCTCTGGACCTTTTAACAACATCGGCTTCAACAACATGCGCTACATGTTGTCAATATAGTTCAACAACGCACAATGCACATTGTTAAATGGCTTTTTTCTTGTAGTGATTTGAGACAACGTTATCCCATTACAGTTTGAAAATGATGGCTCTAGTTGCTTGTACATTTCGGCACAGCTGCTCTCTTTCTCATCTTGACAGTTTGTAAGATCTATGAATAATTATGAATTTGTTTTAGAATTAAGATAAAAATTTTGTTGTTGTTGTTGTTGTTTTGAAAGGAAAGGTGAGGAGAAAACAATGAGAATAGAACAAACTAAAATTAAAATCAGTTACATGTGTCATTCCTCCTCCTTGGTTCACATCTTTCATCTGATTTTTGGTAATAGACCTTAGTGATAGATAAATATATAATGATGAATCAGTACAGCACTATATAGTTGAAATTCATTATGGCTTGGACATTATTTCCTGCATTATAATGACCTACCAATTTTGTACGAGTGAAAGGTGACCAACAAAGCCTGGTCATATAGCCACTAACTTTGGGCAATGACTTGACTAATAGGATGTGCCAAATCAACGAATAATTTTTCCTTGGCCTGCAATGTCAATTTTCCAAGACTAAAAGCCACCACCAAAAAACAATGAACTAACCTAAGGCTCTAACGTTCTTTAAGTGATTATTGGAATAGAGCAGTTGAGTTAGTTTTGCTAGTTTTATTTCATTAAGACTTTGGATCTTGAATGACTATTTTCTCGACTCTAGGGAATGAATTTTTTGTTTTATACAAACGATATTGGGGAGCGGGGAATCGATCCCTAAAATCTCAAATGCAACAGTATCTATTCTTAACTACTTAAGCTACAAGTCCCTTCAACTTGACAATAAATATAACTAAATCAATATTCTAGATTATGTAAATGATGATGTATGCATGATTTACCTTGATTAGCTGATTTCCATAGTGCTGCTTCAAAGATCTCGACAATTGTATTAGTGATCAAACAATCTATATCCTAACTTAGAAAAGTGTGAATGAAAATAAAAAATTGTAATTGGTCTAGTGCCCTTGAAAGTCAAAGTGAGTCACATTGATTTTTGCGTCTTACTTTACCCCAGTCATTAAGTATGTAAAAAACACCCATTAAAAAGGATGACATGGTGTTATGAAATAATTGCAAGTGCATAATTCGCACAAGTAATATAGAAATAAGTAGATTATCGTTTCCCAAGAGACCGTGTTCTCCTATTAATTATCATGATATTTGTTATAAGACAATCACCAAACATCTCCTCTCTGTCTCCATTCGGATTATCAAATCAATTGAATATTGGCCAGATATTCAAAGCATTAAAAACAGTAACAAATACTCAAAATTGAATAGAAATTTTAAAAAAATTAATATAAACTATAACACATATCCCTTAAAAGCGTTGATGAGTCATACAAGGAACCCACTGTTTTGCTACATAAGCGCCATATGCATAAAAAAATATTAATTTACAATAAATAATAAACAATTTCCATCATCCTATCCTCGTTACCTACCTCCCTCTCGTCCTCTCAACGCCCAGCCACCCAACCCACCCCACCCCCCTTCCTTTCCTCCTCCTCTCCTCCTTTCCTCCTCTCCTCCTCTCCTCACCACTCTTAGCCTGATTCCTAATCCATTAATTTTACACACTACTACAAAAAGTGAAAAAGACGACCAGAAAAAGACGACGGCAGAACAAAAAATCGTCGTTGTGTTTAAAAAGATGACGGTAACAAAAAACCGTAGTGGATAAGTGCCTTAAACAACTAAAAAATGGAGGTACTGTTGAATATTTTTTAAAAACGACGCACACAAATAAAAAAGCATCGTCTTATTAAAAAAGTTTTCTTCAGAGTTAAAATTTGACCAAAAAACAACGACAGCAGGTATGAATCCACCGACGTAGAAAACAAAGACGACGGTTCACCAAAAAACCTGCCGTGTTAACTCCTAACTAAACATGACCAACCGTTCTTAGTCCGCGTCATATAATATAATGGAATCCACGTAGGTATACTACGACGGTGCCTTCTCTGTAAACCGCCGTCTTAATTTTTCTTTCTTTTTAAGATTTAATTATTTTTTAATTTTGGTAGCCTACGAAAATTAAAATGAGATCCCAAGAGGTATGATATCTTACCATTGAGATCTTTGGATCCTGATCATAATCGAAACACCAAAGTGAGAAAGACAATATTTTAAATACAAAAAATCCAAAAAGAAACCAGAACTGAACTGATCACGGCAAACTTTGAGAAAGACAATGTTTTGAAAGTTAATGAGATGTGCATTTTTGTGTCTTTAAGATACACCAAAACGCATACATCATTAACATCCAAATTATTGTCTTTAAGATGTGAGAGAGAGTGATGATGTATGTGTGTATGTGAGAGAGGAAGACGAGCCTCCAGAGAGGTCAGAAGAACTTGGAACCCTAAATGAAAACTGAAACTGAAAGAAAGCGTCAAATTTATACAATAAATCTTTAAAACCCA